AGAGTTCAAAGTCTATTTTAAATTAATAGTAAATAAATAAATAATTTAAAAAACTGAGTATCTATATAATAATATTTATAACCTGAAGAAAAATAAAAAAAATAGTACTTACACTCTAGATTCATTATTTAAAAATAAACTTAAAAATTGCCCCCCCTTTTTGTCTTGAATTGTTTATAGTTTGTTACCACGACTACCTCTACAGTCTACAATCCGCCTGTAGACGCATATAAATTTTTATTACAAATAGGTACAAAGTAGGAAGTGTAGAAGCGACTGGTCAGGTACGAAGTACTATCGTTCGAGAAATCTTTATATTCCTACTAACCGCTTTGTGTTTGTGTTAATCCGATGTCTTTCTGGCCAAAATAGACTTTAATAATCAGTGTTGTTATTAATAATTAATAATATAGACAGTGATAATTACTTAAGTTACCTATTCGAGAGGAGTTTTTCCATTGCACGGAATTTAACCTTTAAGGTTGGGAATGCAACTATTATATACACATTTACATACAATTTTTCATTAAAATTCAAGTGCACGCTGACTAACATTATGCAAATAGAATAATACTGTACTGAAATTAAAACGTTTTTCATTAACTTTAGATACTTAATTAATTTATCTATCAATTCAATGTCACCAGCAGCTTTTCTACTATTATCCGATATTTATTTTGGCTAAAAAAGTGACTAAGTACTGAATATATACCTATTTATTAAATTTCTACAGTTTGATCCACGCCTAGTTAATTTTATGGGAAATATTCCAATAGATAAATTTTTTACGTTCGGGTTCGTGTCTTGACCGCACGTTGAAGTCTCCGAAATTAAATTCAGGATTTTCCCATGTATTACGATAAATAAGTTATAAAATTAAAACCAGTTAATAGGGGTGTGATCTCTAGTGTGAATTATTGCAATTTGAAAAACAAATATCATTTCTGCATGGTTATTTCGTCTAATTATATACGTTTCTCTTTTTCCAGTTGCTTTTATTTACGGAAAATCATGAAATTTAAATAAAATGTAACATAAAAGCACTAATAGGAATTATTTTAAATAAATAATCAAGTTTCAAAAGAATCTAAAGTGAAAGTACCTAACTTAAGTACTTATACTCATGTTTACTATACCATGAATAAAAAATTAGAATAATTAAGAATCCAAAGGAGCAGTAAATAATTTATACTTATAAAAATATTTGTAAAGATTAATATCAATAACACGAGGCACTTTAATTGCTGGTTTATTATTACTTTTTTTTTGTTTAATTAGATAATTGAAACCAATGGTAATTCCTTCAAGTTAAATTTCGCTAGACGAAAGAAAAACGACAAGAAATCAGGAATTCTGCTGTTTGCTATTGAAATAGTGCATCAGTATACATTTGTATTACAAAACAAATGCAGTTAAACAATAATACAAACAAAAGACAGGCTGGACAGGATCTGTGCTTGGCTGGCCTAAAGAATGTTTAGCGTTTATAATACGAAACCTGTTTAAAAATAAAAAAAAAACACCTTGGGCAGTGAGTAAATCATTTAAATTCTTCCATTCGCCACTAAACCTTGATGAAAAAAATAACGGACCCATGTGGAACCATACCAATGCATAAGGATTAAGTACAACAATTTCATGCATATTTACTTTTCTTCTTAAAAGTAGAACGAATTAAAAAACCGATAGCATAGTGTGTACAGTGAACAAATCAATTTTATGAAAAGTGGGACAGNGCAGGTTAAACAATTTTTAAAGGTTTTACACAATTTTCTGTATTTTCGCTATAAAATTAACCATTTTATATCTGTGAAAAATTCGTACAAGATCTTACTTACCATCATCTTTTACAATTAAAGCTGCATGACATGTTTTAGTTATCACTTTATGTGAACAACTGTCAAAGATCTAATAAAAATGAAGGTAGAAAGAATCCAATCATTTGTGAAATTCAGTTTTATTAATTACAATTTGTCTTCATCCTAACCTTTAAAATTTCTTCAATCTGGTTTAAAAAATGTGTATTGTAGTCCTTTTTCATAATCAAGACAGTGAAAACTTATTTTATTGCTTTCGAAATAAAGTGTATACTTTATACTTATCTTAGATCTCAAATGTAGAATTACCGGAATCAAGAGATGGCTGTTTTGGAAAATCAACAGAAAGAAATTCTCCAGCAGCTGGTAGAACTGAAAAACCAAATGCTGGAGATCAAAAAGACTTTGCAAAGTAACAAAGCAGACCTTGGATTAAAATCTAGTCCAAAAAAGTTGCCCTCAAGTTCTTTAAAGGTATTTGAGCAAATTAATAATATGGTAAACAACTTTCTAGTTTAATCTATGTTTATTTATTTGCAGATTGAAAATGTTCCTGATCTTATAGTTAATGCTAACCCAAAGAATCCACCCTATTCACTTTTATGTATTCAAAGATTATGGTCCAACATTATTAATTTAAAAGTTAAAACCTATACCCATTCAACAATTTCAAAAATTACCAAAGAGGCAGAAAGGTTGTCATCTGAATTAGAAGGTTTTAAATGTACTGAAAGCATTCCAGTTATATCATTGAGGCTCATATGGAAAAATGGTAAATTAATTTGATATGTCCAAGCATAACATAAAGATATTTGTATTAAATTTTGATTTCATTCATTAATAAAACAATTTTATTTTTAGTTGGAGCTGATGTTGAACTTTTGGTACGTCATTATCCAATTATGGGTGAAGTGAATGTTCTTAGATATCTTTCAAGACTTTTACAAGGTCCATTTAACTATGAACTTTCTCCAAAATGTTTAGAAATAGATTCAGTTCTTGATTTATGTTACCTTCTGCTCTGTTCAAAATCTAAGGGTGAAAGAATTAATTTACTACAACAGTTGGATAAAAAGCTGGGAAAATCAGGATGGTTTTGTGATAGTAGTTCTGTCTCTATAGCCGATATAGCTGCACAATCTACCCTCAAGAATATTCCCTCTAATGAAATTAATCAAAATTTAACCAAATGGCTTCAGAAATGTACACAACAAATTACTTGTAAAGTTTAATTTTATTTAATAGAACAAGTGCTTTTATTAGATGTTGTTTTATTTCGTCAAAACTGAATTAGAAACCTTTTGTACTTATTATGAATAATCAAATTACCTACCTTGAAATAGATCTAAAGTATTTTAAACTATTAATTATAAGCATGAGGTAAATGTTCCTAAACTATTTACAGGAATTGTTCCCGCTAAATTTTAATTTAAAATTCAATTTAAAGTAAAAATTTATTTGTTCTGATATAAAACCACAAAAAAATTGTATCTGTATTGAAAGAAATATAAAAAAATATTTTTAGATATTTAAATTACTCGTTTTGTGTGTTGCCTACACACAATTTTTAAATTCTCTAGAATTGGGCCAAACATTTCCAATTTGTACTAAAGTTGTGGAATATACAATGGAAATATTGATTGGTTTGACTTTTATACGTTTTAACAAGTTAAATATTGTCCAAACTACATCAATTAAGATGTTAAATTATGAATAATAACTATTGAAAAATTATTTTATTGGTTTGTATTAAAATACCAGAGGATATGAATAATGTTATATTATGCGTTATCAACTATTTATGTAACATAATTATTCTGTATATTACGAGGCTTGCCCTGTGGATATGAATAAATAAATAAAATAAATAAAAAGTTTACAGGAGTAAAATAAGCAACCCTCCTTACGCTGGGATCAAAAATAAATATACAGGGTGTATCTTAATTAAAATATACAAATGCACTAAATTTGTTTTTAGAATAACTCATTATTCATTGTGCAACTGTTTAAATATACTCGATTATAAAACTGTTGGCAGTTTGTGACACATCATTCTTATCAATCCATCTTGCATTATCTTTATTGATTCGCGATAATTTCGATAAAGTCCCAGTTAGAAGTATTACTTCATTGTGCCACAATTACTCAGATAGGTAGAAATGATTCTACAATTATAATTAAAAGTTCGAAAGGTTTGTCACATATTCGAAATGGCGAAAACAAAAAGGCAATTTATTGCTGCTTCTGGTTTAACATCTTTAGGGGGTTTTCTTATGGGATTAGTGGCGTTAACTACAAAACAGTGGGTTACATCTGATGCCATCATTACCCTTGGTGTCTATAACGAACCCAGTTTAGTTTCCTATGGTCTTTTTAGTGGTGTTTACAGACAAATTTTAGCTATTAATAATCAAAACGAGTATTCTCTCACAAGTACGTAAACATTAATAAATTAATTATTTTTTCAAATTTTGATTACTCTTTTGTAGCATTATTTTAAGCCATTTTACGTCATATTATTATATTTCTTATAACTACTCCTATCTGAAAGATATAAGTTAATAAATTTTTGTTTGATTGCAGTTGTAGCAAAGGCATTATGTAGTACTGGAAAATATTTTAATTTATTTTAGCATTTATTTTGATTACAGTAACTTGCTTGTTGTCATCAAACGTTTGTGCCATGATGTGTGGCTCGGATTCAGTGGAAAAACGAACGGGGGATCTTGAAAGATTATATAATGGTGAAGACGTAGATTCCGTATGTGGTTCAATAGTATTGAATTCAAACTTAATATCAGCATCTGATTTAAGCAGGGCAACAGGTGAATTGCAATTTCTAAACACATATAATAATAATTTAAAAGATAAATATGGGGCAAAGGCTTTTATTTATACGAGACCAACAGCCCACGTTTCGCCTCAATTATGAGGCATTTTCAGGTCTCGTATAAATAAAAACCTTTGCCCCATATGTAGCTAAATTTCTAACTTTATACAATTGCTGGGGAAGAAACGGTAACATAATTTAAAAGACATTTATTTTAAAATAATTTCTAATATTGCTAATAAATCGTGCAAGATAAACTTTGTTTTATTTGTTTTTTCGTATCAGATTCTTCGAGGAGATTTATAAACGCCGGTGTATACGTTTCGACAATTGCATTTTTGATTTTATCATTAATTTTTGGTGCTATTGGAATTTGCTTATCAGTTTGGAACTTTTTTGATAATCCAATACAAATATGGTTCAACGTATACGGTCTTTACATTTGTAACGGAATCTCCTGTGGAGCGGGTCTTATGGCAATAATTTTATGGGGCGGATTATTTGGGGCAACCCTTTTGCAAGACGTTTGTTTTTATTACTCCATAATGGGTCTGATAAACACCGAAAATCTAGCCGCTTTGGGATTCTCTTATTGGTAAGCTGTATTATATTAAATGTTAATATTCTGTTTTGATCTTATTAGATCTCGTCAGCACGTCTTTACAGTTTCAACATTTTACCTTTACATGGTAGATACGTAACCAATGATCATTAACTTCTACGTATCACAGATGTAGTTGAAAAACATATTCCACACTCTTCCTAAATATTATTTATAAAAGAAATTCTGAGTGCTGTTAGGACAGGGCAATGTAGTATTACGTAGTTAGTATCAGCAATTTCTTATGCTGAAGTGTACGATGTGTTGCATACCTTTTTACAAACAATTCCTTTAAATTTAAATTTTCAAACAATTTTTAACACAAAGGAAGTGATTAAACAAATTAATTACTTTATTTAGTATTAGTATTATGTATGGTGTTGTTATTAAAAAAAAAAAAAAAACAAATAACTAATAAAATTGATTGCAGGTTGATGTTTCCCATGGTCCTTTTATATGCCTGCAGTATCGTTGTTTTGAAAT